TCCCCCCCCCCCCCCCCCCCCCCCCCCCCCCTCCCTCCCCTTGCCGATTTCCTGCCTACGTCACTGGGGGTTTTGTAGCATACACCTTTTCTTTCAAAACCCTCCACAACCAGTAATCACAAACCGTCAGGTTTAACAGCAGTTGTTAAGAAAGGTCTAGGCTTTCGAATGATACCAAACTCATTTCCATCAGAGAAAAAATAAAGACATAATGATGTACAAAACTTTGGCGGGGTTTCTGGGACACCCTGTAGAGCAGAATCGGGTGGGAAGATGAGACCCAAAGAGATGCACATCTCATTTTTCTATCTAATTAATAAAAAAATCGTTCCCATAAAGGAAGAACAGCCCTCAATTTTGCTTAGATTAGAAGAGTAGGTCAATCAGGCCCGTTTCCTTTTTCTCTTCTAAAATATCAATTTATGAAAAACGTTCATACTTCAGGTCACGAGACCAAAGCGACTTAATTTCCACTTCCATCTTCCAAATCCGCATTTGAAACTCGGAATAATTTCCTCTGCGATTTCAGGAGCCGATCCCGCTGGGCCTGGAGGAGCGGCGCGCCTACCTGAAGGCCCAGCGAGACAAGCTCATCTCGATGAAGAAGGCCGAGCGGGAGAAGCGGCTGGAGTCGGCCGTCAAGAAGCATTCCAATCGACCCAAAACGGTACGGGTTCCAAGCTACGTTTTTTCACTGTTTCACCGAGACTCCATTTAAGACGAGTTCCTGAGCACAAATCCTTCAGTTCCTCGATAAATAATCACTTGAAAATAATCACGACGCACACCCAAGAATTTTCACTCGAATTTTTCACTCGGAATTTCCCTCACTGCAGGCGAAAGCGGCAAAGTCGTCTTTCGGCGGAGGAATGGGGAAACAGGAGGCCGAGGAGGAGGATGCGACCCTCAGGGTCAGACGGGAGCTCGCGAAGAAGCTGAGGGAGGAACTCAATTTATAACCGGAAGCTTGAAATTTGCACGAATCTCGTTTTTCGTAATGCTTTTTGCTGTACATAGTCTGCAGGAAGTGGGTCGATGGGAACGGGTTGAGGAATTTCCTTTGGTCGATTTTCGAGGCGAGATAGAGGTGATCACTCGATTCCGTCCGTGTGTGTCGTGTTGGCTTTGAATAAAAGAAGCTGCATCGCCTCCGCATCAGTTCGGGGACGAGTTTCCTCTCCAGATGTCTCTGGAGGCGGCGCCGGGCCTGGTTCGGAAGGGAATGATTTGTAGCTCTGCAACTCCACGTTCAGCGAGATGTCTGTTTAATACCATTCGGCAAAGAATTTCGACTTTCTATTGGGTCGGTGAAGAAATCGAAAACAGAAGGGGACGAGGAATGTGAATTCCCCAGTCCTTCACTAAACCCCCAATAGATGTCTCTCTCTCCTCGGTGGAAGTGGATTGGCACGCGGACGCCTGCAAATGGGTGCTAGTCGATGTGTGCTTGCAGGTTTTGGCACGATGGTCATCGCATTGTCGAGAATTCGGCGTGATCGTTGCCATTTCTCGATTTCTCGCGCATGCGCAAGAGGGCTGAGTCTTAAGTTGCTTTTTTTCACGAGAAACGTCGCCTTTTGGAAATGCTCGTCTTCAATAAAGACGTCGACGAAATTAATCTGCTTTTTGGGTCATGTCGAGAAGCGATAATTTTGCACAAAGCAAGTTGCATCTGCCATTGACTGTCTCCAGGGCAAAAAAAAAAAAAGGAAATTGCAAATCAGAAAAAAAGGAAAATGAAAAGTCTTGTGTCCCGGTCGCCTTCGGCGTCCGGCGACAAGGAATTTGATGTTATCACGGCGAGAATCGGCCCGCAAATGGATATGGGCAAAATGCGGGTCAACATCGTTTTCGTCTAAATCCGTCAAAAAGCGAAATTACAGTGGGCGCAGTTCAGTTGTGACTCGATTTAACTGGGCTAGTCATGACTCGGGGCATAGCCTGCTCTGACATCTGACACAACCATCTGAACGCATTCGGTCGTTTAACCAGTATGGCGGTGCAGAGGTTCTTAACTGAAGTGAAGTGAATGCTCGTTGTCTCAGCCAGCAATAAAAAATGTTCCATACCGATTTGGAATCTTCTCGAAGCAAATTTTAGAAGGCCGATGCTCTCCTCGAAAGCAATTTCGGGATATTGAAACTCATTTGTGCAAGGTTAAAGAAAGGAACAGCCGTCGTGACATCCTTTTGCGTCACGCACAACTTCAATCGCAGGTTTCACCGAGTCTGGGTACGCACACTCGCCGCTGGAAGCCTTCAATGGATGATACCGTGTTTGGAGGGATGATGTGACGGGAATGACTCGATCTCAGAGATCGGGTCATAGCACGTAACTCGGGTCAGGTTCCTGCGTCATCACCAGATGCATTCTGTGTTTCGTGCCGTGACTTGCGTTATAGCCCGGGTCACAACTGAATGCGCCCAGTGTAAGCTTTGAATTTTAACGCGTACTCGAGCCGGGAAAAAAATATCTGAAGGCGCATGCGCGGCGGATCGGGAGGTCGCGCCGCCAACGCCAGCTGCCAGTTCTCTTCCAGTTGACGTAGCTGACGGATCCGTTCCGGGCAAACGGAGAGGCGTGTCGGCGCGGACACGGAGAGAAGAGATGAACTCGTGTAGTGCCGCATCTGACAGTCTCACACGGCGTACTTTCCTCCCATCTCCCTATCTCTACCGATCTTCTAAGTCATTTCCCGGAAGTCATCGAAAGATTTGCTCGGCTCGTTAAATGCCTTTTTGAGCACTCGGGACTCCCCTTATCGTTGTTGAAGCGCCGAATGATCATCTCATGACGCATGATTTCTTCAGAGGCAATTATTTTTGCTTGATTCCGCATACGGTTCAGGAAAACGCAACAAACCAGTCCCTCAAGGGCAATTAAAGGCTATGGTGACGATTATCCCCAAGATGCACGAGTCAACACAACTTTTTCTTC